ATTTTGCTCGAGGCGCTCAAACAGTGGCAATGGCCGACAGAGCAAACACAAAAATCCAGCAAAGTAGGGGAAATTGAGAGACCAAATTGACATTTCATTCTGATGAAAAGCTGCTAGTTTCTGCTGGATAAATTTTTGCCAGCAGCCATTTGCCAGCAAGAAAAACGGGTGATCAAAGTGCAAATGTTTTCAATTTATGAAAATATGGAAGTTTATTTTAGATTTAGATTTAGATTTATTATTAGAACTGCAAATGTATCGGAAGAAAGCAAATACTCATTTACTCATGTTTGGTTAGCAAATTGCTTTAGGAAAACTTTTAATTTATGTATATTATTTTCATGTTTTATGCTGTTGTATGTAAACAAAATTTCGATAAGTTATACTAAAAACTCGCAAGTTTTTGCTGGTTTTGCGTTCGCGTACTTTTGCTCACATTTCTCTCTTTGAGAGAGAACAGATAAAAATGATTAGAATTTTGCTGATGATAGTTTTCTGCTGGAAGAATACGCGAATACACCTTATAAGTGATTCGCTCTCACGAAATTGGATTTAAAGAGTTTAATAAATAACCACATAAATGTACTCACATTTCTATTGTTTGTTAAACTGCACAAGCCCACTGTCATAAAATCGCTTTTATGCAGCGCTGGTAGTGTTGAAATATACACACATACACATGAATATTTAATGCGATTTACATATGTATCTCAGAACTATATACTACAGGTAAATAAATAAATTTGCAATTTCGTACGCGCACACAAACTTCCTCAGCCACCACAGACAGCTTCTTTCCGGGGGAAGCAATCACTTCTTCCTGGAAGTCACTGTTCACTTACATTGAATATTATTGACTGGCTACGTTCAATTTAACACTTACAAAACTTCGATTGCACATTAATTGATTTTTATCAAATCGTTCCATTAAATACAATTCATTACTATTTATTTTACTAAAACTTAATAATCAGAAATTCACACGCGATTTTGCTTCCGTCGTTCGTATTTGACAAATAGTTTTGATTGCAGTGTTGGAGGCATTTCAGTTGAATCGGAATCGGTTTGGGACCAAATATCGGTTTGTCGACAGTTTCAAAGCTGTTGAAATGCCTCCAACACTGCAATCAAAACTATTTGTCAAATACGAAGGACGCAAGCAAAATCGTGTGTGAATTTCTGATTATTAAGTTTTAGTAAAATAAATAGTAATGAATTGTATTTAAAGGAACGATTTGATAAAAATAAATTAATGTGCAATCGAAGTTTTGTAAATGTAAAATGGAACGTAGACAGTCAATAATATTCAATGTAAGTGAACAGTGACTTCCAGGAAGAAGTGGTTGCTTCCCCCGGAAAGAAGCTGTCTGTGTTGGCTGAGGAAGTTTGTGTGCGCGTACGAAATTGCAAATTTATTTATTTACCTGTAGTATATAGTTCTGAGATACATATGTAAATCGCATTAAATATTCATGTGTATATGGGTATATTTCAACACTACCAGCGCTGCATATAAGCGATTTTATGAAAGTGGGCTTGTGCAGTTTAACAAACAACAGAAATGTGAGTACATTTATGTGGTTATTTATTGAACTTCCTTAAATCCAATTTCGTGAGAGCGAATCACTTATTATTGTATTTGTTTACTCATTTCCAGTAAAAGTTTTTACGAATTTTCATGTTTTGGCGTTTTCGTACATAAAAAAAAAAGAGTGAGCGAAAATCACAGCTGAAGTTGCAAGTTTTACTGGATAAATTTTTAAAGCGCAGTTACCCACGGACGTAAAAATGGACAACGTGTCAGCTGACACGATCTATCTAATGGGATCTGCGCAAAATGTATTCAACAAAGTGTGATTGAATTTGACATTGCTCTCAGAAGAACCATCATATAAAGTCAATTGAAAATTGAAACAAATTTTTATGAATTTTGAATCGCTTGTTTATATTTTTTGGCATAATAGTACCCTAAAAGAGAGCCTACCTGAGTTGTCAATCACACCTTGTTTAATACATCTTGGATCTGCGTGTTAACAAAAACTCAACACCGCATGACCGTGACGTAGACGTTGCTTTTCTCTCTTTCTATAAACATCAAACTTCATATGTTTCAACGTACTTCTACGCTCCGCTGCGTACAGGTTCGTGGGTAACCGCGCTCTTGTAAGAATTTGCTAGAACGAAAAACAGCAGATCACATGTTGCTGGATGCAATTTAAACTAATAAAGCTGCCTTTACATGAGGCGATTTTTTGACAGGCAATAATCGCCTGCAAAAGATGACTTGGTGTCTACTTTGAGGCAAGCGATTTTTTAATCACCATTTACACGAGCGATTTTCTTGAGCAATGTTGGATCGGCTAGAAAATCGCCCGATGTAAATGCAGCATAAGAGTTTCGTACCGCAACTTTTCTGGATAAAACCTGTAAAACTGTCAAAAAGCAAAATTGCTCTCAGAGAAAGAGAGAAAACCCAAAAAGTACGGAAGCGCTTTTCGGGTAAAAACTGGTAAAACTGTCAAATACACCGTGGACGCCATTATTTTTTTTTTAATAGCATTTTTTTATCATTTGGCGATCTTCTAAATTTTGCTCAAATACACCAGAAAATTAACAAAAATACTTACAAAACTTGAGATTTCTTCGCTAGGATATACATATTTAATAAGGTGAAAATGCAGATGCGCTTTTGTTTTTGCTTATTCAAATTTGAAATCATTTGAATAGCTGATGGTTTGACACTTTACCAGATTTTACCAGCAAAAATTCTTCGGGTAAAATCTTGCAACTTCTGACAAAGACAGGGCCGATTTTACTTTGCCAGACAATTAGGAATTTACTGCGAATAAACAAGCAATTTATCAGCTGTTCATGCAACTTGCAAACTATTCCTGAATTTGCGTTCGCGTACTTTTTTGGATATTTTTTCTATGAAAGCGACTTCTCAGAAATTAAGTTACTGGAGAGTTGCTGGCAAGTTACTGGATACTTTGTAAACAAACACAACTTTTATTAGGTGTACGTATTTGCGTATTCTTCCAGCAGAAAATTCTCAACAGCAAACTTCAATGAATTTTCATTTGTTCTCTCTCAAGGACAGAAATGTTTGCAAAAGTACACGAACGCCAAACCAACAAAGACTTGCAAGTTTAAGGTACAGCTGAACGAAATTTTATTTACATGCAAAAGCATAAATAAGAAAATATGAAAATAATGTAAACTAAAATTTTGCCTAAAGCAATTTGCTAAGCAAACGTAAGTAAATGAGTATTTGCATTCTTCCGTAACATTTCCAGTTCTAATAAGTTATTTTGAACTTAAAAACCATCAAAATAAATCTCAAATTTTCATAACTTGCAAACAGATGGTTTTAATCAGCTGTGTTTCGTGCTGCTGGCAAAAATATTTTGTGTAGACGAACAGCAAAACCTGATAGTTTTTGATAGTTATCAAAAACTATTAATACGCGAAATAAAAAAATCTGTTTAAAAATGCGACTATAAATCGAGTACATATATTTCTGATTATTTTTAAATTTTTTTTGTAAATTTACACGATGAATATGTATTTTTCTCATTTTTGTTAGCGGCTTTACACATTTCTACGGGTGATATCAAACAGCAGATGTGTGCTTTGTAGCTTGTACACACTTTCGTAGTAAATTTGCGCACACCACAGCAGCTATATTACACTCCAAAAAGTCCGAAATTTTAACAAACTATTCGATGAATAATCGAGCATGTAATTTCGCGAATAATAAGGTAGGAAATCAGTAACCTACCTTTTAGCTAGGAAATTTACACAATTTTTTTTTAGAGTGTAATACGCGAATGCAACTATTATATATGTATGTATACATATATCGTCACATGAAATGCAAAAAGACGTAACAACATTGTAAATGAAAGTCGTGACTAATATTTTTTTTTTCATGAACTGATGTGGGGAGTTGTAATTCGATGGAATCCATCATACAAATCAAAAAGTGAAATTAATTTTTTTTTTAGTTATGACTTTTTGCATTTCAACGATGATGCTTGTTACGTCTTTTTGCATCTCAGGTGACGATATGAATGTAGATATGGGTAGTTTTGAACACTTTTTAGTTTTCGCGTGACTGCAATTAACTTAACTTGTATACATAAATAATATCTGAAAAATTTAAAACAACTGCCATTCTGGGAGAGAACCATGCCGTTTTAGTAACAATCGCATGGTTTAACCATTTCAATCGCGTTTCATTGTGAAACCTCTGATCACTTTCACATTAAAGAAATCGACCGCTAATTTAAAACCAGGGCACAAATGAAGGACAATAAACTTTGAAAAGTGTACTTTGTATAATTCGGTGAATAAGGCCAAATATTGAACGATCAAGAAGCTACACAAGCTGCGAAAAACTCCCTCGCTACTTTCACCTGCGTTGAAGTTTATTAGACGTTCCCACGGCAGTTGGGTCTACGTAACCGGAACGACCCAGATTTATATCTGGCCAAGGACTGTCACTCCAGCAACACTCTTAATGTATTCTTAATAGGGTCGATTTTGAAGAAAACACGGGTTGGCTCTACAATGCTAATATTTATTACTAAAACAATTATATTCCACCATGATTTTTACTAGCCGTCATCGATTCGCCAACAGTTAGCAAGTGGCGAAACGAACGAACTCAATGAGGTACAACCAAACTTGCTATCGTCTATAAGTGCTAACTAACTTTGTTGTTGCTTTCACATGCAAAATTTTTCGTTAAGCGACCGGAACTCAAACATAGCAAGCAGCGAAGTGGCGAATCGATGACGGCCAGAAATTCCCAACCGATTTTGCTTCCGTCGCTCGCATTTGGCAAATAGTTTGATTGCAGTGTTGGAGGCATATCAGCAGCTTCGAAACTGTCGACAGTTGAAACGGAATCGGTTTGTACCAAAACTACAGGGTGAGAGCAAGGAGAGAATAGTACATTAGTGCTGCCACTTACAACAAATGCAATATCACTTTTCATTAACATATGACAGCACATTATACTTCCAACAGTTGTTTTTTCTAGTCGCATTTTGTCAATTTTCGTGCATTGGTTTGTTTTTATTAAATCATTTATTTATTGAAAATATCAATCACCAACTAAGCCGCGGACCATGCATTTTCCTTACATGAAAATTGCCATCTACGTGCTAACGTTTCTTACCTACGCATACTCGGGGTATGGCTCCAGTACGATTGTGCATCTGCGAGACGCCATCATCGCGGCAGAGGCAATATTCGGTGATGTTTTCAAGAATCTAGTGACGGTTGTCAGGAAGTTCCGCACAGTGCATGAAGTATTCGATGCAGCGGTGGACGAGAATTGCTTATTTCAATGTACAGGACCAGATGGAAAACCAACAGGTGAGTTTGAAAAGATGTCGAGAAGATGCGTGATTAAACGCCGGCATGCCAGCTGAAGCAGGAAATTACGTAAAATTGTGTGCACATGCGTCAATAAAGTAGAACGTGGAAGGAAAAAGTTGTAAGGAATGTGTTAGTGATTGTAGTGATGTCTGCAGTGCGTCATTTGTAGATGAAATGGATTTGCTTTGTTTTGATGCTATCTCTTGTCGCTTGCATCAGCTGATTGGCATACTACAGAAAAGCTTGCTGCTGGAGATTTCCAAGCGGCTGGAATGTGAGTGTTGTGACCGCTTTCGACAATGATTATAAGTCAATTTAGCTGCAATCTAAATTTATGAATTAGCTACATCATCTTTTCCGGTACACGTGTACCAATATAGTGAAGGCAGCTCACCTTTGTGCAAATCGATTATAATGAAGAATATTTGCATATGCTGATTCAGCTACTCGCCAGCAGATGGCACCATGCGAACGCGTTGAAAAAAACTGTTACGTTTAAAATTTAGTATCTAAAGTACACCTCGTCAACTTTGAATACACTCTTTAAAGGCAGATTAAATTATTTTCCGTCTCTTTCAGATGTACGTCCCGTCCAGAATAAACTTTACACCCCCACAGCCGATGGCTGTGGCTCGCTTGGTTTACGCATCAACACCGAATACTTGCCCGCGGTAGAAATGGAGAACTGCTGCAATGAGCACGATATTTGCTATGACACATGTAACAGCAACAAGGAGCTATGTGATTTGGATTTCAAGCGCTGTCTTTACAAGTATTGTGACACCATTGATAAATCCGTTGGTAGTGAATATCTCATAACCAGTTGTAAAGCTGCTGCCAAAGTGCTATTCACTGGTACCTTAACGCTGGGTTGTAAATCATATTTGGATTCGCAAAAGCGTACATGTTACTGCGCGCCGCCTAAGCAATCGAAAGAGGATGGGCGGGGCTACAACGGATATAAGAACGGAAATGGTGATAAGTATTATAAGCAGGGCAAGAAGCAGAAATATGGCTGGAAGGATCCAAACGATATGTAGTGCTGCCGCTGAGTTAAAGCAGTAACTGCATTACGCGTTTTCTTTAGCAACTTTTTTTCTTCATGTTATTGTTCAACGCACACAACTTAAATTAATTAAAACACATTTGCAATAGTATTTTGAACATACTGCTAAGATGAGAGAGAGATGTACATAGTCAAATGTATTTTTTAGAACTTGAAACCTTTCGAGTGAATTTATTTACATATTTGTTTATTTACCATTAAAACCAACGAACTTGTCCAAGGGAAGATATGTATTTTAGATTTTATTACAAAATAAAACTAATTCGTAATTACTAAATAATATTTTAAATTACATTTGTTATTATTTAGTTATTTAAGCTACTTCTTCCCAATGGCGATTTTGCAGCAGTATAATAGGACAACTGGTGCACTTTTACTCGGTACTCAATATTTGGCTTCTGACTGTCCACCATCACTTCCAGGTACTTAATGCTGTCAGTACGGGTAACATATTACTAATAGCAAGTCCGCAACTAGCAACCATTTGTGACCTACAAGACAGAATGCACAAGCTTATCAGAAGCGATAAGTGCCACGTTGTCGGCGCAGGCAATAACCCGACAGCATCCACCAGGACTTTCAAACACGCCTTACTCTTTTTCGGTGGCAAATATTGTAGACGAGGGCACGAAAAAGGGTGTAAGGGTATAATTTAATTAAGATTATTGAGTTCTAGTAACACTGTTGACTAGATCATGTCTTCTGAATCAATACAAATGTTTTGAAACATTGGAGTCAAATAGTTTAAAGAATCAATTGTATAATTTATCGTGTTTGTTTTTATTTAAACATTATGGAATTTACTAACGAAGATAATATGTATGTACTAAGCCCTAGTTTTCCAAGGTATTGGTGGCTATAACAGAATCCATCGTAGTCCGATTTTTCGTGAAATCGACGAAAATGCGATCACTGAAGCCGAATCGCTACGAACATGCGTATTCAAAGTATACGCTACGTTCGTAGCTATTCGAATTCCATGACAGCATTTACGTAGAATTCACGAAAAATCGGACACCGACGGATTCTGTGATAGCCCTGATTATAACATTTTCCTTAAAAATTATAATTATTTTGATTTATGTATGATTTCAATTAATCAAATTGTTTTCTACTTCTGCAACGAAGCTTGAGTACTGCATACATAATCCGCGAACACTATCCAAAGAATCCACCACCAAATAAGCCGCCACCCCCACCACTGCTAGCCGATGCACTGGCCGTGCCGCTGCCGCTACTGCTCGCGAACGCCGTATCTGTAAAAGATCACATAAAGAAACATGTCCAAAACACTGTATAATTCGTTTTGTTTAAAACAATATTCTTCGTAGAAAGATTGTATTTAAGGTTTCACACACCACTCGTATTATACACTCACTCATGTTATTGCCATAGAAGGGATAACCTCCAGAATAAGGATAACCACCACCGCCACAATTGTAACATGGGTAGCCGCCGCCATAGTAGTAGGGATATGGCTGATAGCCGGGATAGCTACCATAAGCGCCGAGTCGATTACCATATCCAAGAAGACCATAACTACCTGCACCACCAAGGACACCAGGGTGGTAACCATATTGAGCGTTCACTTGACCTAGCGCGCAGAACAGCAGCACGAGGATAAAGGAGGCAGATGCGAGCGTGTGACGCATAGTGGTTGTCAGAAAAGTACTCAGGATGCACGAAATTTAAAAACGAATTCAAAAATTGGATCGCCCGGATGATTGTTTTTAAGACTTGTTCTAAGCAAAAAGAAAAGTACTCAGGATTCACGAAATTGAAAAAACAATTCAAATAATAGCCGTTAATTTTGATTTATTTTAAAGTAATTCAAATACTTTTAAGCCAACTTTTTCACATTCGCCCGATTTGGTGACTGAGCTTGTATTTGGGATTATACTTTATTTTTATATCCAAAAATATCGTAGTGTCAGAAATGCGTGAAAAAAATGTGATTACCAACAATTAAAAATCGTATTACATTGCATGCTAATTTTGAACTAATGAGCCTTTGTAGCATTGAGCATTTAGTTGAAGCTTTAGCGTTTGGTTTGTTTTCATTCATTGATACATACATATGTATGTATTAGACTATTTTAAATTACTCCTAATTTGAGTTAAATTCAATTTTATTCTTTTTTTTTAGTATGGATTTGTTTTCCTCATTAGTTCTTCCCATTTATGTAAATATTTTTATTTTTTTTCGAACTATTTGTGTTTTACTTTTTTTTATATTCAACACTGAATTTTCCAAAAGTAGTTTAGTTTAGTCAGCAATCACTGTTTGTTTCCGACCATTTAAGGTCAATGAATTCGGTTCAACTTAATATTTTTTTTTAACGAACGTGCTACGATCGGTTTATGATTATTACTATACCTGAAATTAATAGTATCGGCTTTGCATTTGTCCTTACAAATCTTCCTATAGGACATCCAGAGAATAATCAGTGGATCCGTTAGTACACTCCCGTGATTTGTACGCTTATATAAGCTTTAATAAACTTTGTTTGACGAGTGTAGGCCTAATCCATAGATGTTCAGGTTAGTCCGCTTAATATTAAATTATTATTTACTGAGTTTTTTTTTTGCTAAAAAAATAACCTTGGATATTTTTTTGGTCGGAAAATAATCGTTATTTTTTGAGTTTTATTTTTTGCTTAGAAAATTAAAGTTATTTTTTTAGTTTAAGTTTTGCTTCGAAAAGAAAACTTATTTTTTGGATTGTTGTTTTTTTTTTTGCTTGGAAAGCAAAAGTAGCATCTGATGGTTTTTTAAGATGCGTTAGCGAACGTAACGTTGTCGTAAAGTACCACTAACGGCAGCCCTAAGAAGCGTGCAGCCTCAATAGGGTCGGTCCACAGGGGCAAAGGCGTTTGGGTTGTCGTTTTTTCCGGGTATACGAAGAGATGTTTCGAGTCATGGGGTGTCTCTCCGTATGTCGGACACTCATTTGGTACATCTGCGTTTAGTCTGCTCAGGTATGAGTTTAACCTGCTGCAGTAGCCAGAGCGAAGTTGGGCTATTGTTACGGTGACCATATTTATGAGAGCCGAATACGGGACAAAAAATAATTTTGCTAATGTTTTCATTTTTTCCCTATAAAATTTGTTAAAAAAATCGTTAAAATTTAATATCATCAAGTGCAATTTTAAGTCGCTAAGGCTTACCATTATTTTTGGAAATTTTTTATTTATTTTTTGTTGACAGTGTTACGCAATTTTCTCGTACAAAGTAGGCATACTTACCATTTTCTTGAAAGAGAAGCAAATGAGCAGTACTTTCCACTCGCACTTTATTATACTCAATTTCAATGAGTTACAAAACTGCAAACCAAATTTTTTTCTGAAGATTCTAATTAAAAAGTTTAAAATTTTGGTGAAACATTGTAGAATTAATTTCTATAGTTTTTTGCACAAAGTGGGAAATTTAGTATTATATGTTTTTTGTTAGCAAAAGAGCTTTACTTTCATAAAATAAATAATAAACATTAAATAAACTAAGGAAAAATAGCCAAAACTTACTAAAATGTCGAGTCCTAATTTCTATTTTGGTCACTGTATGTATTCCTCGATTCGAGTCACAGGCATTCAGATTAGAAAATAATAACTGTTTATGAAGAAAATTACGATCATATATGTACCAACATCACTTAAAACTTCTTCGTCAGCTTGCCATTTTAATGAGCTGTAAGGCATTGAAACACCGAATACGGGACAAATACAGGACATTAAAAGAAAGACAGAACATTTGGCGTCCCGTATAAAATAAATAAATTTCCAGGACAATGGGTCAAAAAAGAGGACTGTCCTGTATAATACAGGACGGATGGTCACCGTAGCTATTGTGGTTCTAGTCTCCCGAGGCAGATGAAGCTCCGTATCGTCAATGTCCGGTGGTTGTGCGCCTAGAACGGCATACACAGGTCTGCAGTCTACATAACTCGAGACTGACTCCCTGTGAATGCCGTTCAGAGCCTGTCGAAAAGCTGACGGGTCCAGAGGTTGTTTAATGAACATCTGGACTTCGTCCGTCAGTTCGTAGATATGCCTCCTGACGTGCCTCGGCGAGGGCTCTTTCGCAAGCAGTTGCCCATTTGGGTGACCACGTCTATGGCTCCCAACAAGGAACTGCTTGCAGAGCATTATATTGTGCTCCTTGATCGGGAGCAATTACGCCTCGTCGTGTGGGTGGTGTTCAGGCGACATCAGAAGGCATCCAGTCGCTGTCCGTAGCGCGGTGTTTTGCGTCGTCTGCTGCTTCATCTACTGCGTCCTACTAGTCCCCGGCGACCACACTGGTGCTGCGTAATTAAAAACTTAGGGATATAGGTGTGGTTCAATATGCATTTGCGCAAGCTTATATGGAATCAGCCCTCTGAACATCGGATATAAAGTCTTATCATACAATCAACTATCGAATAGAATACACACAACAACGATAACAAAGCTCCATTTCATACCATGCTCTGATGTCTAAATTTATGATACAAAACTAATACGGTTCTGTAAAATGACGTGAAACCATAGAACCTAGTTCCGTCAGAATAGAGAACAACCTATACAAACTGTTTGATACCAAACCACATTTCAGATAAGGCCTCTCTTTCAGGAAACTTCCTTATACAGCAGACTACCTGGACCACATTGGGAATTAGTGATGTAAATTAAGATTTTGCTATGTCCTCTTGGCAAAAGTAGAGTAGTTACTGCCAGCTATAGAAGGGTAAAGCTCCTTAAGTAGTAATATTTTATACTCGTTGGGGGGTTTTGAGAAAGCGCATTAACCAATAAATCGCTATCATTAACTTTTCTGGGTCAACACCAGCAGCGGCGGTGGCACCAACGATATAAAAAAAAATCGCTTTTCTCCGACAACAATAACTTTTATTATTGCTGCTACGTGTTAAGCTCACGCTGCTGCTCGCCGACATGCAATTGTCATTACCGTTGTTTCACCGTGTGTAGCCATTGGCTTTTTGGTGGTCATCATTTAAATCGTCCCTGGCTAGATGCATGCAAATGAATATACATATATGTATATGAACATACACACAAACATATGCAGACATCAAACTAAAACCATAAATTTGTTATTGTGTGCCACATTAAAATGATGGCTGCATGCTGATTTCCATAGGCAATGACAACACCCAAGTGGCGAGGAAAAGCAACGCAGCAGTGAAATGAATGCGAAGGCATGAACCAACAGGCAGACACAAATGCATACATACATATGTTCTTCAAATATCAAACAAATAAAGGTAAAGGTCAAATAGAAAAGTAAATTTGAAAACAAAAAATTTGATAAAAATAGGTGACTTGCTAAATAAAAAAATTCATATGTACATATGTACATAAGTGCATACATAGTATGTATGTATGTATGTGATCAAAGCATACACGCATATGTATTTAGATAAAATATTTGGTTTGTATGCATGAGTTTTCATTTGAAATGTGTAGATGCAATTGCAGCGATAAGCGACAACAAATCGTTTGTGGCGAAAATCATAACTACTGCAGGAAATCGTATGCATACGTGCTAATGACGTTCCAGTTTGTGTTTACTTTTTTATTTATTAAATTTTATATATTAAATTTTATTTTATTACTTATTTATTTTATTCTTTATGTATTTTTTGCATTGTTTAAGTTATTATGTAATTTGATTGCAATTAATTAATTAAGTTTACTTTTTAATTTAATTCTATTTTAATTTACTTTATTTTATTTATTACTTATTATTATTATTATATATTACTTTTTCATTTCATTTTTTATTTCGTTTTATGTAATTTATTAAATTTCGTAATTTTTTAACCTATTTTATGTGTTTAACTTTTTATTCATCTGTACATGTATGTATTATTTTATTTATATCGAACCCTAACCGGCAAAATAACAAAAGCCGAGTTTTTTTTCAATTTAATTTTTTTTATGCAGAAATATCGCTAGAGGATCTAAATGCATTTCTGCATCAAAAAGAAATTTTGAAAAATATGTCGCCTATGTAATTTTAGCGGTTAGGACTCGATATGATCTTTTTATTAGAGTTTTTTTATTATTTTTTTAATACTATTTTTTTTAGTTCAACATCCTTTTCTTACTTAATTTTTATTTTATTCTCTTTTGTTTTTAATTTATTGTTTACTTAATCGATTTTTTTATTGTCATTTTATTCTATTTAATTATTACTTTTTATTATATTTCACTTAGTTTACGTTATTCATATGATAATATTTATTTAATTAATTTTATTTCTTGTGTTTTATTTAATTTAAATTAATTTCATTTAACTTTTTAAGTTTTCATTTAACTTCTTACCCCATTTAATTAAATATTTTATATATTCTATTTATGTAATTTTTTATCCCTTTTTATATGCACTATATCTACATGTCTTGTTTTCATATTTCGTTTTATTTTATGTTTTTCATAATCAAGATTTTTATTTAATTCAACATCCCTCTCAACTTTATTTTTATTTAATCCTTTTTTTTATTTAATTTATTCTTTACTTTATCGTTTTTTTTGTTATATTATTCAATTTATTGTTTGTATTTTATCACATTTTGCATTGTTTAAGATATTAATTTGATTATTTTTATTTAGTTTTTACTTGTTTTATTTTTCAAATTAAATTTTTTTGCTTA